CTGTAAATTAATCCTGTGCGAGTAGCTTGGCTACTCCAGGATTATAGCGAAGAGGGGAGAAGGGCACCTTAGAAGAACCTCTCTGTCTCAGCCTTATTTTGTATACGTCTTCATGCTGAAGAGAGAGACACTTGAGAAGCCTTACAAAGTACCTCTTGATGAGTGAGGAGAGCTTCAGTTTGTTGTACTGCTTACAGAGTTGCTAAATTTGAAGGGGGCTCCATCCTGTTAGTAAGCATATGTGTAAGTGTTGCCTTGTTGAATGATTTTGCAGAATCTGTGATGCTACTGGTCATCTTGGGCTAACCTGTAACCCTTTCCACCCCTTTCTAAGCCCAGGAAGAGTGGGGTTCAGACTCCCCCACAAAAACACTGGGACACTTGATTGCCTGTCATCGTCTCTATCGTTTACGGGACTATTTCATGTAGAGTCAATGGCTCGAATCTATGAATACAGCCAAAATGTGTAGGTAAGTATTCATTACCCATAGACTATTAATATAAGCACTCCGTAGATACTTTCCTACTGGCACTGCACTAAGAGCCTTAGTTTTGTCCTTTAACCAGTTTGCAACAATAATAATCCATTCACACAACCCCAGAATCCCATAACGTAAAAAAGAATTGCCAGCTGTCTTCCACCATTTATGTAGCGAAGAGCAAAAAGTTAGCACGTTAATGTGATGTATCGTGGGAATGCAGGTCCTTGTAACAAAGTCCTTTTTAGTCGATTCACTAGCACTCTCCTGGAGCTCTGTAAAGTCTTGAATAACATAATTGGCTATACCCTGTCACTATTATGAGTATAGCCAACACAATTTTCTAGGCATACTTCATGAAGAAATAGCCTTCTGGAAATAATCAGGAGCAAGGGGAAGATGTATTTGAATTTGAAATTTTGTATAAGTAATGATTCAAAGGCACTATGGCCCAGATCTACATAGGGACTTAAATGCTTGCCTCAGGAGAGGAATTCACAAATTCAAATTAAGTGCTTATATCTCCCAGGCAGGGGATTGTCCCCTATGGGATAGCCTGGTTTGTAAAGATGGGATTTACAGTATGCAGTAAACTGAGCAGGAAAATGCCTAACCTAGCCAATTGGCAGCTAGCCAGTTGTCTGCAATCCTGCATCTTTCCTGGAGGTTAGGTGCCTTCTCAGCCTGAGGCGAGGTGTTCAAAGCCACATCTCTCACCACCCAGGAGAGTGCCTTAGCCACTGAAACATCTGTTGATAGCACCTTACGACCTTCCAAATGCCTTTTGCTTTTACATGACTCTTCCTGACAGCTTAATTCCAACAGCTCATATTTCGCATTGCTTTTGATTTAGGGCTGTCAAGCTCATCTCCATTAATCCAATTTTTAGTGCAGGGATATCCTCAGGCTTATATTAATGTGCCATTATGTGTGGATTCATGACTGGGATTTAAATATTGTTGTTCATGGGCACCTGGTCTCTCAGCTGACCCTCCCTGTGCATTGTCTTCAGACACAGAACATGAAGTGGGCTAGCATTATAACGGCAGCAACTAAACGATCAATCACATAGCACAGTTCCATGTTTGATGAACCCGTTAGCTTCCAGCTGCACAGAGCAGGCAAGCTGCTATTCCATGTGACTGTAGAAATCCTGTTTGATGGAATTTGCAACCTTGATCTGATTTTTATGGGAAACAGTATCCACTTTTCTTAGAGAGGTAGTTAGCTCAGTTGGTTACAGTGCAATGATAATGACACCACAGTCCCAGGTTAAATCCCCAGTTGGACTAAATGATCTCTTGAGGTCCTATCCAGACTTACTTCTCTATGATACTTCTATAAACAATGCATGCCATTGCCCCAGGTCTGTGTTAACTTTGCCCCTGTCTTCAGTGGTAGCAGCAAGTGTACACAGAGCAAAATGCAACAATAGAAACTTGTCAGAAATCACTGCCCAGATCAATAGAGGACCAGAGAAAGCCAGAAATCATTTATCTGTATGAAAAAAGGTATATCATCAGGGCAGGTGGGAAACGTGGTTTATAACCTGAAGTTGCTTGGGAAGTCCAGCTAGGAGACATTTGTAATTTAAGCTGACCTTGGGAAATCTCTTTCCAGAACTAGCTAACTTAATGAAAAACAATGTGATTCTGAATCTGAGTAATAGGCAGGGATCATAAACCAGTTGCTACCCCATTTTACTATCATTTTAACGACATAACAATTGTATTACAATTTTGTATTAAAACAGGTGGTTGTTGTTTACACAGTATAATTTTTTTCAATATGAAATTGAGTTTGAATAGGTTTATGGCACAGCTTTTATGACAGCCTGTATAAAAATATGTGCATATTATGTACAAGCAAAAGGATTGTACTATTTGCGTGCATCACTGCACATGTTCAGTTTTGAAATGTTTGTTCACAGTCTCTTCTAAAGGTTTATGTACTGATGGTGTTCCATTATCATGCAAGATTTTTTTCCCCCCAGGAAAAGGCTGCCAACTGGCATTTGTTATTAAAAATATTATCTTTTTGTACATTTTGTAATCTATACAGGATATGGCAAGAAAATCTTCCTGCCTCTTTGTGAACCTCTAAAAAATATCCTGGGGAAGAATAGCATTTAAATGTACTTAACTTTGATGGTTGGTGTTTGTTCACCCATACTTTATCCTTGGTTTCTATAGTCTTGTATGCTTCTCAGCGGTGCTTGTGTGAGAGGTATAAAGAAACCACAGTTGATTAAAAATCAAAACTCTATCTCCATTCTCAATTCTTTGTCTCTCTGTTCTGCTCTGAATGGTATCTCACATTACTACTTCTCCTGTGGACTTGAAGAACAGTAAGGACAGTTCCTAATGTGAAGAGTCTTTGATCACTGGAGTTTTATATAGAACCACAGGAAGGGGGAGAAGAAAATCCAAGTTTATGATGTTTATCTTCTGCCCATGCTTTTCCATCTGCATTAGGCAGAGGCAGAATCCCACGAAACTTCATATATTTTTTAACGTAAAAGTGAGAATTGCAGGTTAAAAAGAAAGCCTCAAGAAGCCATTATAATAGTGCAGCCTATTCAAAATGAGGGATAAAGGAGTAGCAGTATGACAATGAAGTAGCATTGCTTATGTTGAATACATCTGCGTACAATTACCACAGACAGACTTGGGACAGAGAACATACAAATCAGTTTGTCTGAGGAGTGTAAGTTCTTAAAATAAGATTGACAGCAAAACCAGAAAGGTCAACTGTGAATCCTTCTGTGCCAAATGAAAGCTTCCAAGCTACAGTTCGCTACCCGCAAGATGCAGGAAAAACAATTCAAATCAATAATAGAGATAGTGAGTATATGATCTCATCCATTGCTATTCCCCTCCATTCCAGAGGGAGATTTATTATTGAGGCAGAAAACTACAGAGAATTATGTTACATCATCTACCTGTAATGGACCCTAATGCTGGCCATTGGAGGTGTTTTCCCAATGTTCTTCAAGCAGTTGTTGTTGCAGTTGTTGTTATGGCTCAGTCACGGCACAGACTCCTTTGTGTTAGGTGCTGTACAAGGTCAAAACAAAAACAATGGGCCCTATCCAACTAGCTTAAATCTAAATTTAAGACAAGAGAACAAATGGGAGCCATTCTGTCCTCTACTCATGAGCTCAACTCATGGGCTCTACCTAGGGTCCCTACTTGGTGGCAAAATGAAGGAGAGAAAATGGGTGTCAGAAAAGCCAGAGAAGGGGTGGAGAATACAGTAGGTAAGAAGAATGGACCTGAACAAGTACCAGGACCATCCACAGGGATGCTACAAAGGAAGAAGGAGCAGGATGTGAGAGAACAGGAAGTGAGGGCATTGAAGATGCCCGCTTAGCTGAAGACCTGTGCAACAGTTTTGATGGAGAACAAATGGAGAGCAGAAGCAGAGGCCCCCCTTGGAAGGAAAGGCTAGGAGCCTGATTTTTTAGTTGAAATTCCTGAGGAAAGTGAAAAAAGCCGTGATTAAACCCAGACTGAATTGCAGTATTAAAGTTTGAATTTCTAAACACTATTGTGCACTTGATCAGCAGGAGTCCATTGTATGTCTCTGTTAAAGGACAGAGAATATCCCAACAGAACAGTATATTTCAGGGGATTTATAAAGGGAGACAGAACATTTTACCGCTTGCCCATTGGTTCTAATCTGGCCCAGATTTATAATGAGACAGATGCATACCCACTTGTTGGCGGCTTGGTAGTCTATATGAAATGACTTGATTCATTTTGGGACAGTACCTGGGAGACAAATGTCCTCATCTCAAAGAATGCTCTGATAGAGTGTATGCCCTCCTTTACTGCAGCCTCATCAGAAAGGGTAGAGATGAAATGGGTCACAGATAGTTAACTACCCTGTCACTCAGGGAGATGACGACTCTAAGGCAGAGGTCAGGGAATCTGGCAGGGCAGTGAAGGCAAGTGTAACCTGATTCTGTCTCTCAGCTATTCTATTGCATCTGAGTGCCTTCCAATACTGCATTAAGCTCTGTGACTTACATCTGCCATATGTGGCTTGTTCTCTCATCCTCTCCAGGGAGGAGAATCACGTGCAGTGCAACATGGGGATTTTTCTTTTTTCCTTCTTTTCTGCCCTTTTTTAGTAAACATATTATCCTGTGTTTAAGTATCAGGAAAAAAAAGTCATAGAAATGTGCTTCACACTTGAAGTGGAAGGCCGTGAGGTCTGAGATGGTCCTTGGTTCCTGGGGAGATCTTTGCCTAGCTTTAGACTATCTGCCCACACAAACTTCAGTCTTATTCTAGAAATGTCCAGTGTACTGCCAGGCTGGCATCTTTCATCAACCTCTATATTCACTTTAAGATTAGGGGGAAAAAAATCCCCCCCTCACTGCAAAACACACAGCCCTCAGCTCTCCAAAAGCCTACCCGGGGCTGAACCAACATTTGGATCCACTTTCTATGAGTTAGTCATCAGGGCCCATCCCCTTCTGCTGACGTCTTTCCTCTCTCTCACACATCAGACTTTCCCCAGTGGAGCTGGAGAACAAGCTTTGTTGAAAACTGCCTGTTTGCTGCCTTAGAGGGATTACAGACACTATAAACACTGTTTCCTCTGCTTTCCTCTACCTGATCTGGAGCATAAGCCAGAATCATCTGCAGGTGAGAGAGGCTGTCTCATTGCCTAGCAAAGCTGGAATAATCTATTTCTGTCCTTTAGTCACTTCTTTTCCCTGCTGCTACAGGAAATCTTTTTTGCTCTTCAGAAGAGAATGAAACCAAGCTAAACACTGAAAGCAAACAACTGTGATATACCACGCTTGAGAAGCAGCAGAATTGCCTGATTCTTGTGTTATTTTTGTGTAGCCCAGGACAATGGTTTTGTCTGCTCCAGTAATAGCTCTGGGAGCCACTCTGGGGACTGCTACTAGCATCCTTGCCCTTTGTGGTCTCACCTGCTTTTGCAAAAGCAGGCAACCTAGGAAAGGACTCTCAGGAAAGGACCAAGATGAGGACCTGGAAAATGCTAAGCCCAGCGTGCTTCAGCCAGTCCAGCAGGTAAACCACAGTCTCTCTATTTTTTCTGCCACTTTTCTTTAAGTGCAGAGGGTGGGACTGCAACTTCTGTGCTAGACTGCCTGGCATGTGATTTAAGACATCCTATTTGTTTTGTAGAATTCAGGATGTAACAATATTTCAATGGGAGGAGGAGGGATTTAGACAGCTGTCATTTTGCCAGCATGAAAGCTGCTAGTGGCAAAAAAACTGAGAAGATTTGCAATCCCTCTTGAGACGTCAGGTTAGGTCATAAGGTAAATCATGTGGCTAGAACAGAAACGTGGATGCTACTAAGATTCCCTAAGAAGACAGCAATGGGAATAATAGGCATAGAGTAATACTGCCAGAATTTTTCCTTATAGCTATCCATGTTCAGCTGCGCACACAGGCACCTATAGTTGCTGCAGTGGAGTGGAAGGACTTCTGTATAAGGATCTGGTTTATTATGGAAATAATCCTCTTCTGTATGGGAAACAGATTAAGTTTGTGGAAAAGTTAGGACCATGTGTCACATGTGTCAGAATGAAGCTTATAATGAAAATCTAGCAAGACCCTTAAATGCAGAGTTTACTATCTCATCCTCTTGTGAACTGTGTTTTCTGTTTCTTGTGCATGTACTCAAGCAGCAGGTGCAAAGTGCTACTAATGTCAGACACCCTGTGTGATCTTAGTTAATTACTAGGAGGATTCGACCACATTCGATTCACAGCAATTGCCAGGATGGAACAGACCAACAATCAATTTACTCCTGTGTCCTATAAGTACCCATAGCTAATGCCAGATGGATTAGTGGAGAGTGTAAATATAAAACCTCAAAATACAGCTTACAATGGTCTGCTGTCTCGTTTTTAATTGGTTTCCCTAGTTGATTTTGTCCTCAGCTTGAACTATAAGGCCAGCAATCACTGAAAGTTTTATTCTGGTTGTTGTTACCGTAGGTGCCATTGTTATTTATATGTTGCCTTAAGTTTTTTTCATTCTTATTATGTCACTTCTCTTAGTAATCTTCTAAAGCAGCTGGTTCTATATGGACATGCTACACTGGATGACACAATTTTTATTCATTTTCCTTTCAATCACATGGAGTGCACTATTATTTTTGTAGTATTGAACAGTGTAGTAGGAGTCCTACTTGGCTGTCTTTGTTCCAGTCATTATTAGGTATTCAGCATGTCACTAATAGCCACTTACTCTTGTTCTTTCCAAAGAAAATAGTTCTAATCTTGTCATATTTCTACTGCAGTTTGTTCTGCTAAAAGATAACAAAAGATCATCATAGCATGTGTGTGGTGAGGTGGTGGGGAGGGATATATGTCTGCTGGCGCTAGAATTGTTTCTGTTTTGTATTATTCCTTTGTGCTTCCACCAGCTATTGAGTAGATTATTGAGTTTGAACTCTTACTTGAGGTATTATGACAATTTCTGAATCCTTCATTGTGCCTGATAAGTAGTGTGACATGTGCCTTTCATTAGGTGTTTGCATTTATTTATTAAGAATTTCACCTGCTAATGTATTCCTAGTTCCCCGTTTCTGTTAGGTGTGTCTCCACTTCCTCCCTAGCTGTGGCTATCCAGCCTGATTGTCCTCTGATTTTTCCAGCAAACTCTTGTGTAACAAGGCTGAGATTTGCATAGTTTACCATTTAAATGATACATGGATCTCCCTACTTCCAGGCAGCCTTGAAAAATCTCACTCTAAAATGTTATCCTGTATGTCATCTTTCACCCACATTTCCATCTTGTCAATGTATTGAGCGTTTCATTATTACCCTCTTCCTACTTGTTTAATACAATTTTTTTCTATCTTTTAACTGTTTTAAACCTTGCTATGTCATCATCCTAAAACTGACTGACTTTCCATAATTATCTCTTGGGAGAGGCTTTATCCAAAGCCTAGACAAAGTATTAATACATATCTGTAGCTTTCCCTTTAAGGCTCCATTATACATGTTCCAAAGAACCCTGAGCTCCCGGTAAGGTCAGATTATGCTCATCATGCCCATAAATTCATAGGATTAGGCTGAGAAAACATTTATTCATTCAGCCAATTTTGCAATATTTTAATAAAGAACTTGACAAATATCTTGTTATTTACCCAGATCTTGTAACATTATTTTCATCTGAATTCTCCAGGGTAAATGCATGTTGGTCATCAATATTTTTTAGCATTATAGGCTTTCTGCATGTGAAGCACTTAAGGCATCTCTTAGCAAACATTCTGGCTTAGTACTGCCTGTAGAATGAACAAAGCATTCTGTCACCAAATGTGCAAAATGTCTTTAGTTCCCATATGTTTGCTAGGTTTGTTTTTTTTCCTAATTAAAAAGATCCAATTGCCAGGAGATGTGATTCATTCAGAAGTTTTTGATTAACATTTGGCCATATTAATTACAAAGATGGAATTCCAATCTATATTTATGTCATTAAAGTGTTGTATATCATGTGTATCTCTGTCTGTTATACTGTGTACTAGATTTTTCTTTTTTCTTAATTTCTTAAGCAGTGATGGAAAATGATTTAAATTCATGGTATAACCTAGTCAGTGTCTGGAACACCTAATTATTGATGCTTGTCAGTCTCAGATTCGGTTACATACAGTACAGATGCCAAAGAGAGGGGAAGGTAGATAGTGAATAGTGTATACTTTATACACTATTGTGGTGTCAAGGAAGCCCCATGGTTATGAAAGGCATCCATGAACACAATTATAGCTCATACAAACATAAAGGTATATCTTCAGAATAAGTGGCTTTTGTACTGTCATTTTGAAGAAGTATCAGAAGACAGGACGCGGTGAAAACACAGATTCCTTGGCAGTAAGACACACGTTCAATCAAGGTAATAATCTGGTATGGTGCTCAATTTATGTCAGGGAGGGACATAAAAGGCTTGTCATCAGTCTACCAACTAATTTGGGTCTATCTCATTTTCCACATTTTATGCTGAACTGACTGAATTTTCCTGCTCATTGCTTTATTTAAGACATTGCTGTTGAAATTTGATTTGTAAAGGGAACTTTCCACAGGCAATACTATATGACTGCATTAGCTGACAGCACTTGAGGAGCGGAGCTAGCAGCATGCATAATAAACAGAAGCAGATGCATTTGGAAGAGGGGGTGGTTTGGTCCCCACTGTGTTTGCATATGTCTTTCATCTCTAATTCTGCAGAGCAGACAGACTAGGGTAATGTGTAAACCCAGTGGAGCTGTTAGTTGTTGTGTGCTGATAGTGTCTGGCTTCTAGAAAGAAAAAAGAGTCCTAGTAATCATGGTACGTCATGTTTGTATAACATCTATCATCTCTAAGTGCTTTCCATGCTAGAGACATATAAGAACACTGTCATGCAGCCACCTCTGGTGTGGTGGGTTACAGCCAGTTGGACGGACAGCTGCTACAGAATTCACATCTTATAAAGGGGAAGGGAGAAGAGATGTTGGCCAGAGCTATCAGGGCAGACCCCCTCCCCGCTTTCAAAAATTAGCAGAAGTGCACACAGAACCTTTATTTTTTTTGTTAAGAGAGCAGTTAAAGATTCCCGTGTCCTGCACAGAACAAGCTCATTTAAAAAAAAAATTTCTTTAGAGGATGAAAAGCTGAACTTAACAACCTGTGATTTCAAGGAATTTCCAGACTTGAGGCTTAAAAACCTCCAAGGCTGGAACCCCATTTTCACTCTTCTGCAGGCTGCCTGCACAAGGCTTATATAAGCCAAAGTGTCATTTCAGGCCAGATCTTGTCTTCTGCATAGGGGTGAATTGCTTTTGAAGATCATAGGCTGGAAGTCATAAAGCTAGGGTGGAGCAAGCACTAGTTAATGGGCACTGGTGAACAATGCTGCCCTGGCTGCCTGGAGAGACAGAGTCAGTGACCCAATTAGTTCTTTTCCATGGCTAATGGCTATGACACTAATTCTCTGAGCACCACAGACTGAGGGTGGCTAAAAATCAAGGTCCGGGATTTTTTTTTTTCACTCTATTGTCTGCTCTTTGAAGAACGGTACTCTTCCCTAAGGACATGCAATCTGAGGGCAAAGTGTCCTAACCCAGATGAAAGCTTTCCCCAGGGCTTCATCTGCATTCATTATTAATAGGAAACAAAGTAACTAATGAAAAAAGAAAGCATTAATTACAGTTAAGAAGGTTTTTCTTGCTCCCTCTCAGTTTAAGCTTAACACGAAATGGTCTGGCAATTACTGGGGCAAGAGAATCATCTAGGACAGCAAGATCAGAATGAAACATTTTACATTTGTACATTATTTTTCGTGCAAGGCTTTCTAAGTGCTTTAATGCACATTTGCTGAGTGGCAGGGGCAGGCTCCTAGGCAGGCCCTGCACCTTTCCATTGTTCAGTCCAAGCATGTATTTACAACGAATGATTTAAATTCTCCCGAGCTGGGAGTTATGGTTAGGTTGGAGGTGGGGGTGGAATGCAATGTCCTGCTCAAAGAACTTTTACTAGCTTCTCCTCCACAAAGGACGGAACCTCTGCCAAGTGAGCAGACAATTCCACATTGCTGGGAACATGGATATAAATTTTTCACTGTCCTTCTGTTTCCCCTTGTTGATTCTACTTTTGTGAACCACCCACAGGCTGGAATGATAAGAGCATGAGCTCTGGCCAATCACATTAAAATACCATTTCATTTAACAGAGAAAATTTTACTTGAATTTGTTCTGCACTGATGAGTGTTGTATTAGAACTAGGATCAGGGGCCAATGCCTTATGATTCAAAGGGAATGAAATGAGGTGTAGTGAAAATACCCATAATATAAAGGACAGTATTGATATACTGCTGTGAGTGTTCTATAGGAGGCAGGTCCAAAACATAGGTGGGTCTATCTTCATTCCAGACATGCTCCCTCTCTGTATGATCAACAAAACAGAAAACCAAGCTCCTAGTAGTTCTAAAATTTAGATCTCAGCTATGTGACTCAGGCCTCCTTTGAATTCCAGATCCTCTCTCTCAGGTATTGCTGATAACATCCTGGGATTTGTCCT